TTCCTACCTGAGTTGCCTCAGCTGTAAAAGGAGGGTGCGGATAGAAACACCTCCCAGCGTTGTAGGGGACTGAAAGGGTTCATGGCTATTCAGTGCCAAGAATAGCACCCGGCCCGTAGTGAGGGCTGCCTGCCTGCAAGTCGTGACTGGTTAATAATCACATGTTGAGTCTGTATTATGTGCCTGGCATTACACAGTCCTTCCCCTGCTTTATCTCATTTAATCTTCTCTGTAACCCTATGGGGTTGATTTAGTGAATTCTTTCCCCAGGAGAAATTCCCTGCAATGGGAAGTCCTGGGTCAGTGTTGCAGCTGGGGATGGGGAGGGCGGTGGTTGTGGTCTTAGTGCAGGGGGGCCTTTACTTAGCACCCAGCCTCCCCTGACCAGGCTGGGTAAGGGGAGGCTGTCTCAGGCACCCCTGGGATCCAAGGCTCAGGGCCAGGGAATCCAGGGTGGGGTTGTGGCTGCTGGAGGCAGTTTGCATGAGGGGGGCTCTAGCAGGAGGCTTTTGAGCTTCAAGGGCCCCCTGGTACTTGCCCCTTCTGCTCCAGGCAGGCCTGCTCTTCTTCACCCAGGCAAGACACTCTAACACTTGCTGGGGGAATCCTTTTTAGGAGGTGGAGGGTGGGGGTGGGGGGGCGCACAGCTGGAGGTTGGGTGGGGTGTTCTTGGAGTGTTACTTGGGGAGCTTGCTTGGCAAAGCTGGGCTGGGGGTGGGGCTCGGTGCGGCGTGGGGGGAGGTGCGGCAGCTACAGTGGGCGGGGCAGGAGCTTGTGTGTGAGTGGGAGCAGGTGGAGCCTGGGACATGGCTTAAATGGAGGGGCCTGATGGGGTGGGTGCTGGGCTTGGAATGGGGCTTGTCTGGGTGGGGCCAGGGCTGTGCCCTAGTGGCAGGGGTGGGCTTGCCCAGGGTCCTGATTCCTATCCCTCTCCTGGTGATCAAGTATTTTTGTGTAGGATGAACAGCCTGGCCCAGAGGAGAGGCAGCCTCAGGTCACTCTCAGAGGGCTGAGCACTCTGCCAGGTGGTCACTGTGCCAGGGCACCCCGTGTGCCTCTTTCGTGGGGCCAGAGATGCTTATCTATACCCGTTGCAGGGGCTTGAGAAGGGAGAGGAGTTTGGGGAGGGAGGAAGGCTTAGTCAGGTGTCAGGCCATTTCTCTTTTTCTCTCTGCGTTCCCTCTTCTGCATGCTCCTGGCTCTGCCCCAGGTCTGGAAAAGGCAAATGTTCCCTTTGGCAAAAAGGAGGTGAGAGGAGCCTCTCCAGGGAGGGAACCTTGGCAGCAGAGTGGACTGGAGGGGAGGTTGTGTACTATCAACCTGGCCGTTCCTGTCATCTTGGCCTCCACAGGTCATCTTGACCTCTCTTGTCATCCTGGTGCCCCTGGCCATCCTGACTGCCCTCTGTTTACTCTCCCTGAGTAGGCCCTGAGGTCTCCAAGTTTGAAGCGGAATTCCCCAGTGAAGGATGGAGTACAACCCTGTCACAGAAAATGAAACATAGAAGGTGAAAGAGCCAAATAAGTCATGGCCTTATTTGAGAGGAGAGGTCATCTTCCGGGAGCCTGCAAGTCCCCTTGGGCTAACATCTTTTACCTGACCCTGGTGGCCCTGGGATATGATGGAGGGGGCCTGGGATAGCTTAGACAGGGCTGGGCTGTGCCCATATAGCGCTAACGCACCACAGGCTCCTTGCTGGAAGGGCCCAGGGTTCCACCTTTGGGATAGTGCTTCCCAGTGCCCAGCGATGGATGGATACAGGACCTGTGTGTCCTTTCCACATAGAAGATTGGTAGAGGAGAAAGGTGATTGTCCCCATTATACAGATGAGAAGACAGTTCAAAGAGGGTGCAGGTTGGGTCCAAGGGCACCCAGGACAGTGATGATGGAGCCAGGGTTAAAGCCAGAGCCAGGCCTTTTCCTCCAACACTGTAACACCTTAGTGAGGTCTGAGCCTTCCCACCTACTCACCTGTACAACTCTTTGGGACTGACTTCTGGGTGGGATGGGGGGATCACAGGCCTGCTCACTGTAGTGGTGGGTTTAATTTTCAGAGGTGCAACTCAACCCAATTCTCAATTATTTACAAGTGATAGATCTAACAGATCTAACTCCTTTCTTATCTGAAAGGTTGAAAGGAAAGGTTGAAAGTCAAAGAAGGCAAGAAGATGCAACTGCCAACCAAAGAAAGCTGGTGGAGCCAAGTTAATATCAGACAAAATAGATTGTAAGGAGTAACATGACTGTGATCAACGACAGTAACTTCATAATTTATCACCAAAGCTCCACTTCCCCAGGATGATATAATGCCCCTAAATTTGTATGCTCCTAATAACATAGTATCAAAATAGATAAAGCAAAGTAGCAGCTCATGCATGGACTAGTATTTTCATTTTGGAAGTCATATATATATATTTTTTTTTTCTTGACAGAATTCAGTCTTTGCCATTAGCCTTGGTGAGGCTGAAAAGAGTCAGGCCCTCCTCTCAGGGAGTTTGCCCTATAGGGGGAGGAAAAAAAACACCACAGATTCATGAAACAGCTGGAGACTACTGGTTGGCACCAGCTGTGGAGGATGTATAGGTTGTGTTCTGAAGACACACTCATACTCATAGATTTCTTTCCACACTGGCATAGAGCGTCCCTGAATTTCAGTCCTAATCTCAAAACAAGACATTAAAGATCTGAGTTGTCATTCTGTTCATGCAAGGTATCCTGGGCTGTTGGAAGCAGCCCCCTGTCCTGTAGTCCTGGGGATCCTCCTACTCCTCATGGATGTCTATGGCAGTAGCTCTGTGGTCACACTCATGGGTCCTGCTGATCATCCTGATCAGATGACAGGGAATTCCTCTGTCCTCCATCCAAGGACAGATTCTGTGGGGACCAAAGCTTATCAACAGGAGGGGGACACTCTAAAAAAAGAACACAAAATCGTAAATACAATTAGCTATAACGATGAATATCTATTTAGAATGGGACAAGAAATCGCAGCAAATTGTAGATTTTTAGAAGCGACAAATACCACAAATAATGCAAAATACAGAAAAACATCTGCAGTAATTTTTCTACCATTCTTGCTGTATACTTTTTGATAGCTTTTGCATATGTAACAGTTTTGAATATTTTCCAAAAAGAGAACCGAGAGATAATGCAATCTTTACTTAGCATGGTTGAACAAAAATTGTTTTGTATTGTTAATAGTTTGAAGATATTTCTTAGCTTCACAGAACATTTTTTTTTTAAGATTTTATCTATTTATTTAAGAGAGAGTGAGAGAGAGAGCGTGCATGAGCAGAGGGGAGGGGCAGAGGCAGAGGGAGAAGCAGGCTCCCCCGCTGAGCAGGGAGCCCGACTCTGGACTCATCCCAGGACCCTGGGATCATGACCTGAGCTGAAGGCAGACACATCACCAACTGAGCCACCAAGACACCCTTCACAACCCATTCTTGGTAATGTTGGTAATGTCATACACATTTTTAGGACTGTGATCAAGTCTGGGAAGATATCTATCCAGTTTTTCATACCTGGATAGAAAAGTTTCAGGGCACGTCCAGTTTTTTTTCTTTTTTTTTCTTTTCTTACAGATTTTATTTATTTGACAAAGACAGACAGTGAGTGAGCACAAGTAGGGGGAGCGGCAGGCAGAGGGAGAGGGAGAAGCAGGCCCCCCACTGAGCAGAGAGCTAGACGTGGGGCTTGATCCCGGGACCCCGGGATCATGACCTGAGCTGAAGGCAGACGCCCAACTGACTGAGCCACCCAGGGACCCCAAGTCCAGTTTTCTTGTACAGTGATTGATCTGAAAGAGTCTTCGAATTAATGACACTCGTTAACTGTTTTGTTGCCACTGCCCTTGCTGCCATGGTGATTTACAATTTTAAGCTGATGTGAAATCAGCACGAAATGTAAATATTTCCCAGTGTGTTATGGGATGCATCCCTCTTCATTAACTGGATTATCGGAAATCCAACAGGCTCTTGATTTCTCCTATTCCACGGTGATCTCTTCCTCTTGAATTACTTTTGGTTAAATTCAGGTCTCATTTTCAAACTAATGGCTCCTCGTTCTGGACCCAGGAGACTGTGGGAAGAGAAGAGAGGTGAGGGGAGCAAGGCATGCTGATGTGTGTCCCAAATTTTCCCTCGTTGGGCATCGGCCCTAGAGGGGAGAAGTGTTCCCATCAAGTCGAGGAAGAGGCAATCCATGGGGGCACAGACGCTTGCTCTGTCAGCCACACGGGTCTCTGGGACGAAGCTGCCTCTGGGCTGCCCCATCTCCCGAGCACAGTCCCATCAAGGTCTGTTGTGCATCTCCAGGGAGGCCAGGCAGGGGCTCTCCTGGTGCCAGGGCAGCCTCCCCGAGCAAAGTGAACAGCCCCACCATGGTTGCGAGGCATGGTGGTGCACGGCGACCTGAAGGCAAAGGCCAGGGTTCAAGCGCTGGCCTGGGCCACGTGGAGGATGAGGCCGTTTCCTGGCTTACCGCCAGTGAGAGTTTGGTCAGTGATGGACACGGTTGGTGGCCGAGGCCTGAGGTCCCGGAGGGGGTCAGCAGGACACCTGGTGGAAGGCAGACCAGGGGCATCCCCCTGGAGGTCAGCTGATGCCCAAGGACCAGCACCAGGCCACAGGGTCACAGGAACCACACCCTGCCTCCGGGGCAAAGATGTCCTTGGAGGGTAGAGAAGGAAGCTGGGAGAAAGTGCTTTCCCACTCAAAGGGAAGCAGGCTACTCACCTGCAGAGACTGGGAAGAGAATCAGCTTTCCACAGGCCAGGCCTCAAAGCGAACCTGAGCCCTCTGACAGGCGGGAGCAGACAAATTGCATTTCGTCTTCCCATGAGTCCCATTGTGAGCGCCAGGACACACCGAGCTGTGGGGGGCTTGGCATAGAAGAAAGGGACCCTGAGAGGGCAAGAGGCAAGTCTTGGGGGCTGTTAACAGCAGGCCAGACAGGCACCGGGCAGGGCGGGCATGCAGATCTGGGGGGCGCCCCAGGTCTCAGGCCCCCAGCTCGTTGGTGCCGGTGGAGGGTGTCTCCCTCCCCTCCCCCTCAGGCTCCTCCCTCAGCGCCCTGAGGAGTACGGCCCCCAGGGGCACCCACCGGCCCCGGTGACCCTGGCTGCCCACCACGAAGTAGACGACAGGATTGGCACTACTGCTCAGGGCTGACGAGAGGCATGCCACGTGGTGGAATAGAGCCTTCTGTTCCTGGGGCACGTCCAGCCAGTAGAGGAAGAACCAGCTGATGCCGAGGGGCAGGGCGCAGACGAGGAACACCATGACGGAGGCCAGGAGGACCACGTACAGCCGCGTGGGCCGCCTCCGCCACTGCCACGAGCTCCTCCGCACCCGCACGAAGAGTGTCATGCTGGACGGGGTCATCACCGGGGTGAAGATCCCCATAATGAGGAAGCTGAAGACAGAGTGCCGTACCAGGACTTGCTGCAGAAGAGTGAGGCCAGCACGTTCATCAGGAGGGACAGCGCCCAGAGCAGGGCACACACCACGGCTGACAGGTACTGGGGCTGGTGACACTTGTACCAGATGGGGAAGAGGACAGACAGGCAGCGCTGCGTGCTGATGGCCGTCAGCAGGCTCAGGCTGGCGGTGTAGGCGAAGAACTTCACTCTCTGCATCACCTCGTAGGCCAGCACGGGGGTTTCTAGATAGAGCGTGACGGCCGTGCAGAGGAGGAAGAGGAGGTCAGCCACGGCCAGGTGGAGGACGTACATGCAGAAGGGGGTCCTTGGACCCCGGCAGCTCAGCAGCCAGAGCACCAGGCCATTGCCCATCATGCCGCACGCACAGATGAACGTGGCCAGGGAGCTCAGCACCTCTGGAGTTGTGTCCAGTGTGTCTACCTGGGGGTTGTCTTCGGGGATTTTACTCATCCAGCTGTGGTACACGGTCTCGTTCAAGTCTCAGCAAGCTTGAGAATCAGTTCATTTACCCGCCACCCCCGGGGTTCCCCTTCTTGGAACACCTGCTCAAAGTGGCTGCCCCCTTTTTATGTGGGTCTCCTTTCTGCTCCTTCTTAATTTGCGGGCGTCTGAATCCTTGCTGGTTTTAGACACTGCAGATGTCATTCTCTGAGAGCTCTCTTCAGTATGGTAGCTTTCTGTGTTGTGAACTTGAGTGCACAGATGTGCTCAATTTTGGTATAATCAACTCCACTACATTTTCACCCCAAAATGTTGTGGCTTTCAGAACATTCCACATCCCTCTGTAAAAAAGATGTCCCCTTGTATTTTCCTCTGTTACTTTTATACTTTTCCCCATCCAGAATTTGGTCTTGAGTCCAGCTGGAACTATTTTTATGTGGGATAAAGATAGGACACAGCTCGAGTTTTCCTCCATATTACGAGCCAGTTTTCTCAAAACTCTCCCAGACAGCCTGTCTTTTCCCTGTTGACTTATCAAGTTCCCGTTTACACATGGGACTCTTAAAACTTGCTGTTCTGCTTTCCCTGTTCCTACACACTGTTTTTATGTGCGTGTGTGTTTAAAATATGTATGTGGGTTTGTGTGAGCTCTGGGTGTTGTGTGGCTGATAGCCACTCAGTACGTGTTCTGTGCCCCTTTCACCAAGTTTCATCCTTCATGGAGACCACCAAGCTCTGCCTGGCTTTCCCCATGTCTGTGCCACTATCCAGAGAACACCTCCAGGCAGAAAGCTGGGGTGATCCCAGGGCTCACCTCTTCTCTTTCCCTTCTCTTAGAGTTCACACTTCCGGAATGCCTCTTGCCCAATATCTGAACACAATTGAGTCTTCTCTTTTCTCCAGTTTTCCGGTTGTTGCCAGTGAGAGGGCTGGTCCAGTAGCAGTTCCTCCCTTGTGGCTAGAGACAGAAATGCCTCTATTGTATTTTCCTCTTGATCATTGCTCGTGTGGAGGAACACTGTTGATTCTTGTAGATTCTTAAAGATTTTTTTTTTTT